TGTTCTTTTTATTTTACACACACTAGGCCCTTGCTCTTGCAATTTTGCACACGCTAGGCCCTTGTTCTTTTTATTTTGCACGCGCTAGGCCCTTGTTCTTTTTATATTGCACACGCTAGGCCCTTGTTCTTGCTATTTTGCACACGCTATGCCCTTGTTCTTTTTATTTTGCACACGCTAGGCCCTTGTTCTTGCTATTTTGCACAAGCTATGCCCTTGTTCTTTTTATTTTGCACACGCTAGGCCCTTGTTCTTGCAATTTTGCACATGCTAGACCCTTGTTATTTTTATTTTGCACATGCTAGGCCCTTGTTATTGCTATTTCGCGAACGCTAGGCCCTTGTTCTTGATATTTTGCACACGTTAGGCCCTTGCTCTTGCTATTTTGCACTCGCTAGGCCCTTTTTCTTGCAATTTTGCACACGCTAGGCCCTTGTTCTTGCAATTTTGCACACGCTAGGCCCTTGTTCTTTTTATTTTGCACACGCTAGGCCCTTGTTATTTTTATTTTGCACACGCTAGGCCCTTATTCTTGCTATTTTGCACACACTATGCCCTTGTTCTTTTTATTTTGCACACGCTTGGCCCTTGTTCTTGCAATTTTGCACATGCTAGACCCTTGTTCTTTTTATTTTGCACACGCTAGGCCCTTGTTCATTTTATTTCGCACACGCTAGGCCCTTGTTCTTTTTATTTTGCATACGCTATGCCCTTGTTCTTTTTATTTTGCACACGCTATGCCCTTGTTCTTTTTATTTTGCACACGCTAGGCCCTTGTTCTTGATTTTTTGCACACGCTAGGCCCTTGCTCTTGCTATTTTGCACTCGCTAGGCCCTTGTTTTTGCATTTTTTCACATGCTAGGCCCTTGTTCTTGCAATTTTGCATACGCTAGGCCCTTGTTCTTTTTATTTTGCACACCCTAGGCCCTTGTTCTTTTCATTTTCCACACGCTAGGCCCTTGTTCTTGCTATTTTGCACAAGCTATGCCCTTGTTCTTTTTATTTTGCACACGCTAGGCCCTTGTTCTTTTTATTTTGCACACGCTAGGCCCTTATTCTTGCTATTTTGCACACACTATGCCCTTGTTCTTTTATTTTGCACACGCTTGGCCCTTGTTCTTGCAATTTTGCACATGCTAGACCCTTGTTCTTTTTATTTTGCACACGCTAGGCCCTTGTTCTTTTTATTTCGCACACGCTAGGCCCTTGTTCTTTTTATTTTGCACACGCTATGCCCTTGTTCTTTTTATTTTGCACACGCTATGCCCTTGTTCTTTATATTTTGCACACGCTAGGTCCTTGTTCTTGATTTTTTGCACACGCTAGGCCCTTGCTCTTTTTATTTTGCACACCCTAGGCCCTTGTTCTTTTCATTTTCCACACGCTAGGCCCTTGTTCTTGCAATTTTGCACATGCTAGACCCATGTTCTTTTTATTTTGCACACGCTAGGCCCTTGTTCTTGCTATTTCGCGAACGCTAGGCCCTTGTTCTTGATTTTTTGCACACGCTAGGCCCTTGCTCTTGCTATTTTGCACTCGCTAGGCCCTTGTTCTTGCCATTTCGCACACGCTAGGCCCTTGTTCTTGCAATTTTGCACACGCTAGGCCCTTGTTCTTTTTATTTTGCACACGCTAGGCCTTTGTTCTTTTTATTTTGCACATGCTAGGCCCTTGCTCTTGCTATTTTGCACACGCTATGCCCTTGTTCTTTTTATTTTGCACACGCTAGGCCCTTGTTCTTGTAATTTTGCACATGCTAGACCCTTGTTCTTTTTATTTTGCACACGCTAGGCCCTTGTTCTTGCTATTTCGCGAACGCTAGGCCCTTGTTCTTGATTTTTTGCACACGCCAGGCCCTTGCTCTTGCTATTTTGCACTCGCTAGGCCCTTGTTCTTGCAATTTTGCACACGCTAGGCCCTTGTTCTTGCAATTTTGCACACGCTAGGCCCTTGTTCTTTTTATTTTGCACGCCCTAGGCCCTTGTTCTTTTTATTTTGCACACGCTAGGCCCTTGTTTTTGCTATGTTGCACACGCTATGCCCTTGTTCTTTTTATTTTGCACACGCTTGGCCCTTGTTCTTGCAATTTTGCACATGCTAAACCCTTGTTCTTTTTATTTTGCACACGCTAGGCCCGTGCTCTTGCTATTTCGAGAACGCTACGCCTTTGTTCTTGAGTTTTTGCACACGCTAGGCCCTTGTTCTTGCTATTTCGCGAACGATAGGCCCTTGTTCTTGATTTTTTGCACACGCCAGGCCCTTGCTCTTGCGATTTTGCACTCGCTAAGCCCTTGTTCTTGCAATTTTGCATACGCTAGGCCCTTGTTCTTTTTATTTTGCACGCGCTAGGCCTTTGTTCTTTTTATTTTGCACACGCTAGGCCCTTGTTCTTGCTATTTTGCACACGCTATGCCCTTGTTCTTTTTATTTTGCACACGCTTGGCCCTTGTTCTTGCAATTTTGCACATGCTAGACCCTTGTTCTTTTTTTTTTGCACACGCTAGGCCCTTGTTCTTGCTATTTTGCACACGCTAGGCCCTTGTTCTTTTTATTTTGCACGCGCTAGGCCTTTGTTCTTTTTATTTTGCACACGCTAGGCCCTTGTTCTTGCTATTTTGTACACGCTATACCCTTGTTCTTTTTTTTTTGCACACGCTTGGCCCTTGTTCTTGCAATTTTGCACATGCTAGACCCTTGTTCTTTTTATTTTGCACACGCTAGGCCTTTGTTCTTGCTATTTTGCGAACGCTAGGCCCTTATTATTGATTTTTTGCATACGCTAGGCCCTTGCTCTTGCTATCTTGCACTCGCTAGGCCCTTGTTTTTGCAATTTTCCACATGCTAGGCCCTTGTTCTTGCAATTTTGCATACGCTAGGCCCTTGTTCTTTTTATTTTGCACACGCTAGGCCCTTGTTCTTTTTATTTTGCACACGCTATGCCCTTGTTCTTTTTATTTTGCACACACTATGCCCTTGTTCTTTTTATTTTGCACACGCTAGGCCCTTGTTTTTGCAATTTTGCACATGCTAGACCCATGTTCTTTTTATTTTGCACACGCTAGGCCCTTGTTCTTGCTATTTCGCGAACGCTAGGCCCTTGTTCTTGATTTTTTGCACACGCTAGGCCCTTGCTCTTGCTATTTTGCACTCGCTAGGCCCTTGTTCTTGCAATTTTGCACACGCTAGGTTCTTGTTCTTGCAAATTTGCATACGCTAGGCCCTTGTTCTTTTTATTTTGCACACGCTAGGCCCTTGTTCTTTTTATTTTGCACATGCTAGGCCCTTGCTCTTGCTATTTTGCACACGCTATGCCCTTGTTCTTTTTATTTTGCACACGCTAGGCCCTTGTTCTTGCAATTTTGCACATGCTAGACCCTTGTTCTTTTTATTTTGCACACGCTAGGCCCTTGTTCTTGCTATTTTGCGAACGCTAGGCCCTTGTTATTGATTTTTTGCACACGCTAGGCCCTTGCTCTTGCTATCTTGCACTCGCTAGGCCCTTGTTTTTGCAATTTTTCACATGCTAGGCCCTTGTTCTTGCAATTTTGCATACGCTAGGCCCTTATTCTTTTTATTTTGCACACGCTAGGCCCTTGTTCTTTTTATTTTGCACACGCTATGCCCTTGTTCTTTTTATTTTGCACACACTATGCCCTTGTTCTTTTTATTTTGCACACGCTAGGCCCTTGTTCTTGCAATTTTGCACATGCTAGACCCATGTTCTTTTTATTTTGCACACGCTAGGCCCTTGTTCTTGCTATTTCGCGAACGCTAGGCCCTTGTTCTTGATTTTTTGCACACGCTAGGCCCTTGCTCTTGCTATTTTGCACTCGCTAGGCCCTTGTTCTTGCAATTTTGCACACGCTAGGCCCTTGTTCTTGCAATTTTGCACACGCTAGGCCCTTGTTCTTTTTATTTTGCACACGCTAGGCCCTTGTTCTTTTTATTTTGCACATGCTAGGCCCTTGCTCTTGCTATTTTGCACACGCTATGCCCTTGTTCTTTTTATTTTGCACACGCTAGGCCCTTGTTCTTGCAATTTTGCACATGGTAGACCCTTGTTCTTTTTATTTTGCACGCGCTAGGCCCTTGTTCTTGCTATTTCGCGAACGCTAGGCCCTTGTTCTTGATTTTTTGCACACGCCAGGCCCTTGCTCTTGCTATTTTGCACTCGCTAGGCCCTTGTTCTTGCAATTTTGCACACGCTAGGCCCTTGTTCTTGCAATTTTACACACGCTAGGCCCTTGTTCTTTTTATTTTGCACGCGCGAGGCCCTTGTTCTTTTTATTTTGCACACGCTAGGCCGTTGTTCTTGCTATTTTGCACACGCTATGCCCTTGTTCTTTTTTTTTTGCACACGCTTGGCCCTTGTTCTTGCAATTTTGCACATGCTAAACCCTTGTTCTTTTTATTTTGCACACGCTAGGCCCGTGCTCTTGCTATTTCGAGAACGCTACACCTTTGTTCTTGATTTTTTGCACACGCTAGGCCCTTGTTTTTGCTATTTCGCGAACGATAGGCCCTTGTTCTTGATTTTTTGCACACACCAGGCCCTTGCTCTTGCGATTTTGAACTCGCTAAGCCCTTGTTCTTGCAATTTTGCATACGCTAGGCCCTTGTTCTTGCAATTTTGCACGCGCTAGGGCCTTGTTCTTTTTATTTTGCACACGCTAGGCCTTTGTTCTTTTTATTTTGCACACGCTAGGCCCTTGTTCTTGCTATTTTGCACACGCTATGCCCTTGTTCTTTTTATTTTGCACACGCTTGGCCCTTGTTCTTGCAATTTTGTCAGAACATATATACAGCTTATACTGTTGTGTAGGCTGTAGTGGGGTATCCTGTAGGGGGTACAACCAGTTAGGGTTTGATACTTGTACTGATTTCATTTCATAGTCATTCATTCCTGTTTTCATTACTTCACATGGTATAGAGCGGGTCCCGCCTTAGGACCGTTTTTTTTTAGGGCCCACCGAAGCGCGCCCCGAGGCGCGCCTTTTTTTTAGCGACCCCTCGGGTCGCCTTTTCCCTCGCGGCCCCGCCGCCTGCTTGACGCGGCCCCGCTGCCTCCACTGCAGCGGCCCCGCCGCCGCCTCTGACGGCCCCGCCGCTGCTCCTGCCGGCCCGCCGCCTCACCTGACGGCCCCGCCGCTGCTCCTGCCGGCCCGCCGCTGCTCCTGCCGGCCCGCCGCTGCACCTGCCGGCCCGCCGCTGCACCCAGTGGCCCGCCGCCTCTGACGGCCCCGCCGCTGCACCCAGTGGCCCGCCGCCTCTGACGGCCCCGCCGCTGCACCCTCCGGCCCGCCGCCTCACCTACCGGCCCGCCGCTGCTCCTGCCGGCCCACCGTTGCACCTGCCGGCTCGCCGCTGCACCCAGCGGCCCGCCGCCTCTGACGGCCCCGCCGCTGCACCTGCCGGCCCGCCGCTGCACCCAGCGGCCCGCCGCTTCACCTGACGGCCCCGCCGCTGCACCTGCCGGCCCGCCGCTGCACCCTACGGCCCGCCGCTGCACCCTACGGCCCGCCGCTGCAACCTACGGCCCGCCGCCTTCACCTGCCGGTCCGCTGCTACACCTGCCGGCCCGCCGCTGCACCTGCCGGCCCGCCACTGCACCGGTCGACCTGCCGCTGCACCTGACGGCCCCGCCCCTGCATCTCCCGGCCGAGCCGCCCCAGCAGCCGAATCGCCCGGGAGCCGAGCCGCCCGGGACCCGAGCCGCCCTGCTGCCGAGCCGCCCGGGAGCCGAGCCGCCCTGCACCCGAGCCGCCCTACCGCCGAGCCGCCCGGGAGCCGAGCCGCCCTGCGCCCAAGCCGCCCAGCCGCCGAGCCGCCCGGGAGCCGAGCCGCTGTGCACCCGAGCCGCCCGGTCGCTGAGCCGCCTTTCTGCATAGCTGCACGACCTGCCCTGCCTGGTGAGCACAGTCCTACTGACACTGCGAGCTCTTTCCCTACTGCTTGCACTGCGTCCCTGTCGTCGCCATGGCTACCCCTAGTGTCCTAGCTTTTGACGCTGAGGGTCGCGCCATTGATTTTGAGGTCTGGTTAGATGACCTGCAGCTGTTCTTACAGTGCGACAGGGCTGACGACCTTTCTCTCTTTGACCTCACCTCTGGCGCCTCTCCTGCTCCTGCTGCTGATGCTGATCCCACTGTCCGCTCTAAGTGGGCCACCCGCGATGCTGCTGCACGTCTTGCTGTGCGTCGCCACCTCCCTACCTCTGAGCATGCGCACTTTAGTCAGTACAAGAGTGCTCACACCTTGTACGACGCTGTAGTTGCGCGCTACTCCTCCCCTGCCACTGCTGCACTGAGCCGTCTCATGCTTCCCTACCTCTTTCCTGACCTCTCTGCCTTTCCCACTGTCGCTGACCTCATTACGCACCTCCGCACTAGTGACACTCGCTACCGCGCCGCCCTTCCTGCTGAGTTCTGCGCTAAGAACCCCCCCCCCCATGTACATCGCTCTCTACTACGTAGTCGCGCGCCTCCCTGACTCCCTTCGCGTCGTAAGGGACCACTTTCTCGCAGTCTGTCCCACCACCCTCACCGTCGACCTCCTCGAGAAGGCCCTCCTCGCAGCGGAGAAGAGCATAGTCGCTGTAGGTGCTTCTCGTGGTGACCCTCGCACCCCCATCTTTGAGGGGTGCTCTCCTTCCCCCTTGCTGCCCTTTGTTGCCTCTGCTGCTGCTGCCGACCTGCTTGGTCTTGAGTCGGTCGGCGCGGCGTCTGCCCCTAGTGGGAGACGTCGCTCCAGCAAGGGCAAGGGGGGCAAGGGCGCGGGTGGAGCTGGAGGGAGCGGTGGCGGTGGCGGCGGTGGCGGCGGAGGGAGAGGGGGTGGCGGCGGGACTGGTGGCGGGAGTGGTGGTGGTGGTGGCAGCAGTGGCGGAGACGGTGGTGGTGGTGCCAGCGGTGGTGGTGGAGGCAGCGGCGGTGGTGGAGGCGGCGGAGGTGGAGGCGGTGGAGGCGGCAGCGGAGGAGGCGGTGGTGGTGGAGGAGGTGGAGCTGGTCGAGGTGGTACCCAGCAGCGTAGCGGCGGTGGTGGTGGCCAGCGCTCGCAGCGGCAGCAGCAGCAGCGCTCGCGGGACATCCCTCCGCCTCAGCAGCTTCGTGAGTGGTACGCTGGGCGTCAGAGGGGTGGGGGTACTGGTCCCTGCACCTACGTTCTTCGTTCCGGCGACCGCGCGGGTGAGCAGTGTGGGGGTGCCCACGCCACCCAGCGCTGCTTTGGCCGCCTGACGGACGCTTGGCGTCAGCAGTTCCCTGGGGCTAGTGAGATCCCTCGCTGGGATGAGCTTCTCAGGGCTGGTGTAGCGATCTTTGATCTTGATTTTGATGCTATCCTTGCTGCTATGTATGTTGTGGATTATAGTGAGGATAATGAGGGTTACCGTTGTTTCCAGCCCGACCCGGGCATTGGTACTGCTGCGCTAGGTGCTTGTGAGGCTGCTGCTCTAGGTGCCTGTGCGTCTGTGCTCTCAGGTACTGGTGAGACTGCGCTCTCAGGTACTGCGTCGTCCTCGTCCTCCCTCACTTTCACACTTGACTCCGGCGCTTCTCGCTCCTTCTTTCGAGACCGCACTACCCTTACGCCGCTCGGCCGGCCGGTTGCGGTCTCCCTTGCTGACCCCTCTGGGGGTCCTGTCCTGTCTCACTTCTCCACTGTCCTCCCGTGTCCGGCTGCCCCTTCGGGCACCCTGTCTGGTCTGTACCTTCCCTCGTTCTCTACGAACTTGGTGAGTGGTGCAGCCCTCCAGGATGCGGGGGTTCACCAGTTCACTCCTGCGAGTCAGCGGGAGACCCACTGCACGGAGGCACGCACAGGCCGACACCTAGCCACCTTCTCGCGTCGGCCGGGGTCGAGTCTCTACACCCTGACCACTTCGTCTCCTCCTGTCCCTGCGTCCGGTCAGGTAGCTGCGTCAGGTCAGGTGTTTAGGGTTTAGGGTTTAGGGTGGTGAGGTTTGCGGTGAGGTACGCGGCGCATCAGCTCAACCTTCACCCCCGGGTCTCTCGGCCTGCGATGTCCCCAGCCTTGCTGTGGACGGGGAAGGTTGGCGATGCGTCTGTGTTCCGTGTCTGAGGATCTCGGGCGTTTGTCCGCGACTTGTCTGCGGACAAGCTGTCCCCTCGTGCTGCTCCCTGTGTCTTCCTTGGCTTCCCCACTGACGCCCCAGGGTGGCAGTTTTACCACCCCTCCTCTCGTCGTGTTCTGTCCTCCCAGGACGTCACGTTCGACGAGTCAGTCCCCTTCTACCGTCTCTTCCCCTACCGCACTCCTTCCCTCCCCCCTCCCCCGGACTTCCTTGTGCTGGTTCCCCCCCCCGGTAGACCCCCTCCCCCCTCAAGTTCCTGCCCCCTCAGGTGTGACCCAGGTAGACGCCGTTGACCCGGTCAAGGTTACTGGTGACTCTGGTGCTGCTGCGGGTGCTGAGCCTGGGGGTGCTGACTCTGGGGGTGCTGTGCGCGGGGGTGCTGAGCCTGGGGGTGCTACTGCGGAGGGTGCGGAGCCTGGGGGTGCTGAGCCGGGGGGTGCTGTGCGTGGAGGTGCTGGGTCGGGAGCTGCTGAGCGTGGAGGTGCTGGGTCTGGGGGTGCAGGGTTGGGAGCTGCTGAGCCTGGGGGTGCTGTGCTGGGAGCTGCTGAGCCTGGGGGTACTGCGTCTGGAGCTGCTGAGCCTGGGGTTTCTCCTGCTGCTGCGTCTCGCCGGGAGCCCCTCTCTCCACAGGAGCTGCGCGAGTGGTTCGCTCGCCGCTGGAGGCGTGCTGCTGCGTCCGGAGGTGCTACTGGAGCTGGAGCTGGAGCTTCTTCGACCGTCGAGGGTGCGGGTGCTGCCGGTCCCGGAGCTGCTGGACCTGCGGGTCCTCCTGGAGCTGGAGCTGCTGAGGGCGTTGGTGCTGAGCCTACTGCTGTTGGTCCTGCCGCTGGAGGTGTGGGTGGCACTGGTGCTGTCGCTGAGGGTGGTGGTGCTGTCCCTGCTGAGTCTGGAGCTGCCGCGCGGCCTCGGCCGTACTTCGTTCCGCTCCTGCAGCAGGTTCTTGGTCTTTCTCCTCTAGTAGAGGGTCCACCGCCTGTCCAGTCGCAGTCCCTGCTGGAGCCTTCCTCTCCACTGCCTGCTCCCTCTCCTTACACTGGTCCTACTGGAGGTCTTGCTGAGCGTCGTGAGCCTGCGTCTCGTCCCGCGTCGCCTGTTCGTGCTGCTCGCGCTAGTGGTCGCAGTTCGCGTCAGCGTCCTCCTCCTGTCCCTGGCACGCACCGGATGTCTTTGCGTCCGTCCACTGCTCCTCTGCGTGCCCCTTTGCCTTCTCCTCCTGAGTCCTCTCTTCCTGCGCTTGCCGACCCTGAGTCGGACTCTCTTCGTGCTGCCAGTCCTACTGTCACGCGTCTGCTTGCTACTGTCGTCACTGACCCCTCTTTTGAGTCCACTGCTGCGTCTTCTCTAGTCGCTGAGCTCGTCGACTTTGCTGCTCGCTGTCGTCTCGACTACGCTGCTAGTCTTGTTGCTGAGTCTGCGTCTGTCTGTCCTCCGTCCGTCGGGGGTGAGTGTGCTCTTGGCACGGACGTCCTAGAGGACAGGCAGGAGGAGTTACAGTGTCTAGCGGCTGCTTCACCTCATCTCGCGTCTGTACTGCTTGCCCCTGAGGGAGACCCGGATGCACTAGACATCCCGACTCCGCGTTCTTACGCGGAGGCCGTAGAGGGTCCCTACTCCTCTCAGTGGCAGGCAGCTATGGATGCAGAGATGGCTTCCTGGAAGTCCACAGGCACCTACGTTGACGCGGTTCCCCCTCCTGGGGCGAACATCGTCAGTGGCATGTGGATCTTCAGGGTGAAGCGGCCGCCGGGCTCTCCACCTGTCTTCAAGGCACGGTACGTTGCTCGTGGCTTCAGTCAGCGGCAGGGAGTTGACTACTTTCATACCTTCTCTCCCACCCCGAAGATGACTACTCTTCGGGTGCTGCTGCACATAGCCGCTCAGCGCGACTACGAGCTTCACTCTCTCGACTTCAGCACTGCGTTCTTGCAGGGTAGCCTGCACGAGGAGATCTGGCTTCGCCGTCCACCTGGCTTCACTGGGACTTTCCCTCCTGGCACCCAGTGGAGCCTCCGACGGCCAGTCTACGGTCTCCGCCAGGCACCGCGTGAGTGGCACGACACACTGAGGACTACGCTTGCGGCTCTTGGGTTTGCTCCTTCTACTGCTGACCCGTCGCTGTTTCTTCGCACCGACACTTCCCTGCCGCCGTTCTACATCCTCGTGTACGTCGACGACTTGGTCTTTGCCACAGCGGACACTGCTGGACTCGCCTACGTGAAGTCCGAGCTGCTGAAGAGACACACGTGCACAGACCTGGGTGAACTGCGCAGCTACCTTGGCTTGCAGATCACTCGGGACAGAGCACGCCGCACCATTACCTTGACTCAGTCACACATGGTGCAGCAGGTCCTTCAGCGCTTCGGCTTCACGTACTCCTCGCCTCAGGCCACTCCTCTGCCTACTCGCCACTCACTCTCAGCTCTGCCTTCGGATGAGTCCGTAGAGTCGAGTGGTCCGTATGCAGAGCTTGTTGGCTGCCTCATGTACCTGATGACCTGCACACGACCTGACCTTGCATACCCTCTGAGCATTCTTGCACGCTATGTTGCTCCTGGGAGACACAGACCGGAGCACATGGCTGCAGCGAAGAGGGTATTGCGCTACCTGTGCAGTACGTCGGGCATGGGGCTAGTGCTTGGAGGGCGGAGTCCAGTGGTCCTTACCGGCCACGCGAACGCTTCTTGGGCTGACGACCAGGCTACGCAGCGGTCGTCACAGGGTTACACCTTCAGCCTTGGTTCCGGCTCTGTCTCGTGGCGGTCTACGCACTCGCTAAGCCCTTGTTCTTGCAATTTTGCATACGCTAGGCCCTTGTTCTTGCAATTTTGCACGCGCTAGGCCCTTGTTCTTTTTATTTTGCACGCGCTAGGCCTTTGTTCTTTTTATTTTGCACACGCTAGGCCCTTGTTCTTGCTATTTTGCACACGCTATGCCCTTGTTCTTTTTATTTTGCACACGCTTGGCCCTTGTTCTTGCAATTTTGCACATGCTAGACCCTTATTCTTTTTATTTTCCACACACTAGGCCCTTGCTCTTGCAATTTTGCACACGCTAGGCCCTTGTTCTTTTTATTTTGCACGCGCTAGGCCCTTGTTCTTTTTATATTGCACACGCTAGGCCCTTGTTCTTGCTATTTTGCACACGCTATGCCCTTGTTCTTTTTATTTTGCACACGCTTGGCCCTTGCTCTTGCTATTTCGAGAACGCTAGGCCCTTGTTCTTGATTTTTTGCACACGCTAGGCCCTTGCTCTTGCTATTTTGCACTCGCCTTGCCATTGTTCTTGCAATTTTGCACACGCTAGGCCCTTGTTCTTTTTATTTTGCACACGCTAGGCCCTTGTTCTTTTTATTCTGCACATGTTAGGCCCTTGTTCTTTTTATTTTGCACACGCTATGCCCTTGTTCTTTTTATTTTGCACACGATATGCCCTTGATCTTTTTATTTTGCACACGCTAGGCCCTTGTTCTTGCAATTTTGTACATGCTAGACCCTTGTTCTTTTTATTTTGCACACGCTAGGCCCTTGTTCTTGCTATTTCGCGAACGCTAGCCCTTGTTCTTGATTTTTTGCACACGCTAGGCACTTGCTCTTGCTATTTTGCACTCGCTAGGCTCTTATTCTTGCAATTTTGCACACGCTAGGCCCTTGTTCTTGCAATTTTGCACACGCTAGGCCCTTGTTCTTTTTTTTTTGCACACGCTAGGCCCTTGTTCTTTTCATTTTGCACACGCTAGGCCCTTGTTCTTGCTATTTTGCACAAGCTATGCCCTTGTTCTTTTTATTTTGCACACGCTTGGCCCTTGTTCTTGCAATTTTGCACATGCTAGACCCTTGTTCTTTTTATTTTACACACACTAGGCCCTTGCTCTTGCAATTTTGCACACGCTAGGCCCTTGTTCTTTTTATTTTGCACGCGCTAGGCCCTTGTTCTTTTTATATTGCACACGCTAGGCCCTTGTTCTTGCTATTTTGCACACGCTATGCCCTTGTTCTTTTTATTTTGCACACGCTAGGCCCTTGTTCTTGCTATTTTGCACAAGCTATGCCCTTGTTCTTTTTATTTTGCACACGCTAGGCCCTTGTTCTTGCAATTTTGCACATGCTAGACCCTTGTTATTTTTATTTTGCACATGCTAGGCCCTTGTTATTGCTATTTCGCGAACGCTAGGCCCTTGTTCTTGATATTTTGCACACGTTAGGCCCTTGCTCTTGCTATTTTGCACTCGCTAGGCCCTTTTTCTTGCAATTTTGCACACGCTAGGCCCTTGTTCTTGCAATTTTGCACACGCTAGGCCCTTGTTCTTTTTATTTTGCACACG